ATTCACGGATTAAATTTCTTAGTAAAGATGTTTATACATTTTATAAAACACAAACGTTTGATGACTTAAGATGTTATGCACCATACTATCATAATAAGGATGTTGTGGTAGTTAATGAGACATATGCGAGCAAGAAATGTAGCAATTGTGGGTGAATACATCAGAAGTTAGGTGAACAAAAATATTTAGATGTGGATCTTCTTTCGGATGGGACTATCCTATTATAGGGTACAGGTTGGATGATTGTATGCTGTCTATCGAAGACATCCGAAACGACGTGTATTGTTTTCAAATTAATAATTCGGGCGTAATTTCTTTGTTTCTGTCATAAATCAATTACAAAAAAGTGGCTAAAAGCCTAGATCTTTAGTATAAATAATACTCTCTAAAATTATTTACGTTCTGTACGAGATAGAACAATTGAAAGTGCTCCTATTATTGGCAAGAAGAAGTAATTCTTAATTTTGCCATGCAATTAATTAATTCAGTTTATATTGTTATAAACACGGAACTTCACAACATATATTTTTTCTTTACCTGGACCATTCAAATAATAAAAGATTCTAGCCATTTTGACCGCCAAATCTGTATATTACTTTCTCACGCAATAAATGCTTTCTCTTTTGCACGCGATAATTCTAGATTTTCGGAAAATTACTACGTAATTAGGAATGGATTCAATCTAGACAAAATCGGTTTTTATTTCACAATATTAGCATATTGGCGCTAACATATGTATGCACACACCCCTAACACAAAAAATCATTGGAATAAATCGATTACAAATGAAGTTCAAAACAAACAAATTAAAACAATTTTTGATAGCAATTTCTTTTTCTTATTTATCTATGCAATGATTTTTTTCGTGTATCAAAATAAAGCCTCCGCGTTTCGAAGTAACACGTGGTGATGACGATTATTCCGATGCAACCTTTAAATTTTGTGGAGAACTATCAAATGTTTTTGTGTAAAATACAAGAACCTAGATAACGATAACTGTTTACTAATGAGAAATCATGGAGTCTTCTCTTTGTTTATTATCATGGTAATACATGTATATGTATCGGTATGTACGTACACAGTTTATACCGATACGTGTCACATTAAAACCTATAATTAAATGTTTAGCGTTAGTTTTTTTTGTTTTAAAAATTTAATTACTTATACAAAGGCTATCGCTATACGTAGTAATAGGTTTTAATGTAACACATATAACTATGATGTATGACTCGCACTAAACTCATCGACGCAAGAAGATAAAGATACTGAAAAACAAAGTATGGTTATCTCGTCACATGATTCTTAATATAAAACAGAATTCAGAATGGCGTTTTAAAATGGTATTGCAAGAGGCCGAAAATAATACGATGTCCCATTGTAAAAGTATGGGAGATTGATAGTCTATTGTCAGGCTGAACAAAAATTGTGTTGCCTTGACTACTGATCATATCAATTGAATGTTTCTTTGAATAAAGAACAATTTATTTTTTTTTGATCCAAAAAAATAAAATACCTCAGCAATGATACATAACTTAAAGGATCAATAAATAACTGTTTGGTTTGGTTTTGATAAAATCTACAATCTTCACACTACGTATTTTGTAACCCAGTGAGTTAGCTTCGATTTTATCACTGTTTAGCGAATCCAAACCGAAACTTGTAGTTTGAACAAAATAAAAAAGTGTTCATTTGAAACCTTGAAACACTAAATTTTTTTAAAAATAATTTGACACAGATTATGTTGTGAAATATAGAGTGATATAAATCAAAATTTACAATTAGTAAATTCTCGCATTGAACAACCCCTTTTCCCAAGACAGATCCTAATTTGAACCATTAATTAAAAATGTTCTACTCTATGAAATCTACTATTTACCAATTTTCATAAAAATTGGCCAAAATTCACCGAGATTTGAGACCCCGAAAGACCGAATCTATGCTAGGAGCACTAATACATGTATTAATGCTCCTAGCATAGATTTGGACTTTAGGATCTTAAATATCTATAAAAATTGGTAAATAGGTGGTTCAAATTAGGATAAGTCTTGGAAAAATGGTTGTTCAATGCGAGAATTTACTAATTGTAAATTTTGATTTAAATCACTCTATATTTCACAACATAATCTGTTGTCAAATTATTTTAAAAAATATTAGTGTTTCAAGGTTTCAAATGAACACTTTTTTATTTTGTTCAAACTAATAGTCATGGAAATAAAAATTCTATATAGAAAGTTAATTTTCGTGTTCAGTTTACATGTATACGTACATGTAATACGTAAGAATCAACCAATCCAATCTGATTCAAACTACGTATGTGTGAAGATATCCATAATACACTTATATACAATTACATCAGGAAGTTTTTGAAACACATTAGACGTGTTTTCTACAACCCCTAAATTTTTAATTAGTAAAATTAACGTAAAACAATACTACAAGGATAGAACAACATAATGTGTTGTTTTACACTTGCTAACCTTTCTGGTGCAGTATTGGCCATTTGATCGAAATTCTGCAAATTTTTGACTAGAATAGTACTAACTATTTACAGTTACATATAATAGTATTTAGCTGGTGTAATAGTTAATTTAACGGCAATGTCATCATGAATTCTAAACAACCTCACAGACTTTCCGCATATTTTTCCGACTTAAAAGAGCCTAATTAAAGTGTTTCCATGGATTTTAGAGATGATTTTAAAGGAGTTAAGTGATGAGGGTAGCTATCCAGTATATTTATAAATTAAAATAAAAAATTGTTATATCAGAATCTTAAACGAATTTAATAAACAAATCCAAAAATGTAAAATTGATCAGATTCACCTTTATTTCAGGTAGTTAACCACTTTTTCTTCAGAAAATAAAAGCTAAGATGCGAGATCGTGAACTTATGCGCGTATAAATTTAATAAAAATATACTTGTGGATATAATTTTAAAATGAATTTTAATCACTTTCTAGCAGCAAATAAGTTTTTGCTTTATTCATGAAATGCAGTCCCTAGGTAATAACTTTAATTATAAGATTTGACCAGGATTGTTCACTTTCAGGAACAAGCAAAATTAACTCTACAAATCTATTTACTATATCCATCCTTTAGATTTTTATTAACATTCAGCTGTTTTTTCTCTTTTATTTATTTGTCATTAAAAGGTAATAATCATATATTCAATTATTTCTTTCAAGTAATACATATACATGTATATTTAATAATAATAAATTATAGTTATTTAATAACTTATCGTGTTACTTTGCGAACATGAACTTTCGAACATGTTCCGTCATGAGATGAAAAACATGTGCACACTACTTTTTTCTGATTGGCTGAACTAGAATGAATATATAAAATTCATGTGCACCAGATCACAAAAGTGTGCACATCAATTTCAGACACGGGGCTTTCATGTCGACAACGACAACGGCTGTGTACAGCACTTAACGTTAATGATTCCGTGTTAATTATTTCTTTCACACGGACAAGTCTATCTCACCATAAGCCGGCACAAAAGTCCTTTGTCTGAAATTAACAAGTGATGTGCCGGCATTAACACTAATAGACGCATCAAAGTATTGGATATAAAAAATGTCGGACATGAACCCCCGTCTTGGCCGTCCGTGTCCATTTCCTTGTCCTTGACATATTCACACAATTGCTTTGTAAGGCCAATAATGACGTTCAAATAGTAATTAATAATTATCTGATGGTGACGATAATACATTATGTAGTGAAAACGTGATTGATACAAGTATATTTTTAAACTATTTGACTCCATATTCGTCCTTTTCTATCGTAAACCATTACGAGATATAAATTGAGCTCTTCCTTTAAACCCGATATAAATGGTTTGAAATTCATTTTCGTTATATATAGACCAACACAATTAAATCTAAAAACAATAGAAATTATAAAAAAGACCGCTCTGGAACCAATTTCTACGAAATAAAACTAGTTAATATATAGTCGACTCGTGAGTTTCCACAGAAAATCTGTGGACGAGTAACAGTTGATCATTCATTCATCACAATGTGATTGAAGGTGTCGGAGTCTGTATTCTCTACCTTAATTAGGATGAAGATGGTGGACATTAGATGCATCATCATCATACGAGTTTTAAAATCAAATCAAAAACCAAACTCTGAATCATGAAATCCCGAAAGCGATGACGAATATTGCATAGTCCGCTTATCGTTGTACATGTATATGGTGCATAACATCTAAAGTCATCAAACATTTGTATTTTATAAATTTTATAAAATGTAAAAACTTCTCAACTAAGTAAATACAAAATTTAATCCGTGAATATGATAGAATAGGCCCTTTCTGAGCATATTCACGGATTAAATTTTGAAATGTTTGATGAACTTTAGATGTTATGCACCATACGTATGTTGCAAATGAACTTTTGATCTATATTAAAAAGGGTCTTCTTTCCAGCTGACTGGATTCCGAATCTATGCAATGATGAGGTTATCTTTTTGTTAGCCAATTCTTTTTGCAAATCCATATGGCAAAAGTTATCTTCAATTGCCACTGTGCATGTATGCGTCTGTGATACATGCATTATAGAAAAAAAATGTTGTCCATTTTTGGTTTATTTGTTTATTACAGTGAGATTTAGTACGACAGAAACTAACAAGCCAGTTGAATTTTCGAACGTTCTCGGCCTTTGTCAGGTTTTCTTATTGTATAACAATAAAGTAAAGATCGATATGGATAGCGGTACGTAGTCAATTAGACAATATCGATATGGAAACAATCGAGCGCAGTCAAAAATTAATAAATACGAGGATATTGATATTACAATTACGTTTTTTAAATAATTTATACAGCATACGTACTTTTTCGTCTTTCCACATTTCGCCGTCATCCAAATCTTACATAAAGTTCCTACCACATCTCAAAATCAAGCACAACACACTATACACACGTAATCTCTAACAACAACACACATACTCTCTACAACACTCTCTAACAACACTAAAAATTAATCATAATACAGCCATGACCACTTATTTTTCACCAACAGTTAAATTACCGGTAATACAACCAACACACATATCAGAGGGGTCTTATAAAACGATTGGGGATTTAAACGCATATTGTGTCGGTCGCCCAAAAAACAAGAAAGCGGTAATAGTGTCGCATGATATGATGGGATTCAATCCTCGATCGGAACAGTTATGTGATATAATTGCTTCGCAAGGATTTTATGTAGTAATGCCATACTTCTTCAATGATGAGCCATACACAATAGAACGTGTAAAACGTGAGGGGTAAGCACATTTATCTTCAAATATTTAAATGTTTAGAAAATATGAAACTTATCGCGTTCTTTATGCTTATAAAATTAGAAATATTGAACGATTTCTATGGCTATCACAAGTAGCACCACAAGCTCACGTAAATAAAGTAATTGACACAATAATCACACATTTACGAGCAGAAGGATACAAAGCATTTGGTTTCTTTGGTGCATCATGGGGAGGAAAATGTGCCGCGTTCGCTTCACATAATCCAGCATTTACTGCTGCGGTTCTTGTACACGTGCCGTGGTTAACGGTCAACGATTTTAAAGACACACAGTGTCCGGTGGCAATATTATCACCAGGTGATTTAAGAGATTTGGTAAGTGAAGAAAACTAAGATGCTTTACTTTAGATCTGTTATTTATTTTACTTGTTTTCTCTATAGACACCGATAGTTCAAGATCTAAAATCCACAAAACCCTTCGCGCGTAAAATTGTACATAAGCGTTTTCCGGAAGCAAAGTATGGATGGGTTGGAGTACTCAGCGATTACTCAAATCCAATAGTAGCCGAATTAAACACGGAGGCAATGCGAATAGCAGTCACTTTCTTTCGAGAGAATATCGGTATAAGAAATTATTAAATTGAAGAGCAAAATACCTATCTTCCCTCAAAAATGACATCACAACATACATAAATAACTCCAAGCATTTTCTTATACATTTGTTTATAAAAAACAATTTTTTGTAAATCATTATTATTAATGATTTATATAGAATATATTAATATAAAATCGGTCAAGCCGAAAATTAAACAAAGTCAACAATAAGTCATTAAATTCGCTATAAAATATGATTTTCATCTTAAACTTTTAACAATTTTATACCATAACGATAAGTAGTTGCCCGTGATGAACAATTTAGTATTCAGGAATTTATCGTTATTACGTAGTTCTTTCTTAATACGAAATTAAAATAATTACATTAATACTTTTATAATCTAAGATGATGAATGAAAATGAAAGGTTATATTAGAAAAAGTACAATTGCTAAATACCGATACAGGCTTTGTTTGTATTAAGAACACGAGATTTTCTTTGATAATAATTTGTAGCTTCAGAAATACTATACTATTAAATTCATTTATTGTCATTTTTTGTTTCTGTAACAACGATAAGATAGAGCACTTTGAAATATTGGTATATTTGATTTGTCATTATGGGTAGAATTTAAAGTGAATAATGTTTTACATGTAATATACGTAGGGAAGAGACTTTTATCAGGTGATTTCAATTTATTATAAGGCTCACCCCATCCACCCCCACCTGATATATTATTTATATTGCTTATATAATCATCGTTGATACTCCTCTCTTAAAAAATCAGGTGATAAAGTCACTCCCCTAATCATAGCGATAGATATCAAACACTGCAATTACGTAATCAGAACATCTGATAATTTTAATTATCACGGGAGTTATCGTTATGATGCTCTTCTTCACTTTTAAGTATTAAATTTATTAAATGTGATATATTGATTTTTTTATAGATTTATATTTACTACCAATAATTAACGATAAAAGAAGTATCATTATTTTCATTTGTATCTGCACGATTTTTTTTGCTTTGTGTTAAAACTGAGCCAAGGGCTCATGTCTCTTACATGTGCAGTAACAAGTTTTTTCTGAGAATACAGTATAAGTACATGTATTATTGTTATTAAATAAAAATGAACCATCGATTTTTTCTACGAATAGTTACCGTTATGCTGTAATCAAAGTACTGATACGTACTTTGATGGATCTCAAAAAAGCTATATGATGCATGGAATTCTTAAAGTCCCGAAGTAAATCTAAAGTCTAGATTACTGTATATTAAATATATATATCGATACTCTAAAACATAATAAGAACCAAATTATTCTTATTCCAAAAACCGGTTCTTATTGTAGCTTTGTTTATATAAGACTGATGAGTTTTTTTTCAGGACCATTATCTGGAAGGAACACATGTCATATTTGGCTTTTTGAAAAACAATTATCATTTATCCTGACGGGTTTCTGACCCAGAACAATACTTTAACCATAAGTATCTTTTGGCATTGTTGTGTTCCTTTTCAAGGTAATTGACATTTATTCTAGACTGTTCCATAGATTTTACTTCGTTTTTTTACTTTAACTAAATTCTTTTCGACTACTTCTGGAAGGTTGCGTCAAACTTGAACTTTTAATTTGACAGCTTTTGCAAATTGCGAGACTTTTTCCACTTCTCTGCCAAAGGGAATGTTAACAGAACCATCAGCATTGCAACGAGCTTCGTTACTGGTATATAAGTTTTTGAAGTTGCTTATTTATTTTTATTGAAAAGGAGTAAGAATACACATCGAGTACACTAGAAAGACTCAAAAAGACAAAACAGATAGAATTATTTTACACTAATTTCATAATAAAAAGTATAAATAACTAAAAGTATAAAATAATTTGAATTATGACGTGTCCAATCTTTGAAATTGGATCACCCCGTTTTTTAAATGTCTCAATTTGCTTCTAGACCAAGTTTGAAATTTAGTATACCGGTTTGAAACGAGATTGAAACGAGAATTATTTAGAATAAACATATTCAATATGCGAAAAAATACCATAGCTGATACAACCGATACATGTACTTGGCTTGTTGACTTTGCATACATGTACAACGAGATACGTATAGACATACATATAAAGGACATTCATTTATACGTGTATTGGAATGGATTAAGATAACACACGGCGTTAAACTGGAGCTGCGCTAAGTCGATTTTGCCCTATTGTGAAGGAAAAATCATAAACCTGGATATTTTGATACATGTACGTAACGGTAAATAAAATAAATTTAAACTTTCCCCAGTTGGACGATGTGCAACTCTCAGTGATCATATGTACAATATTCCGAAATACGTATATCGATATGGTATGGCGTACTTAAACTTCTAACACTAACTAGGAAATACATACAAAATTTAATCCGATAGGCTATCGTTATTCTATCAGATTTGCCTATATACGTAGTTGGAGAATTTTTAGAATCTAAAACGAGTTTAGGTGAGCCAGCTACATGTACAAGTCGATTCTCATTCAATTTTTTTTACGGTCGTGAAATTATGCTGAATGAAAAGAAATTAAAAAATATCTAAGCACTTGTGAATATGGTATTTGTGTGTTGAATTATTATATCGGCATGAATATTTTGCACCATGGTAAAATGAACGCTTGCAGTATTAAAGAAAAATTAAATGTTATGGTGCATAACATCTAAAGTCATCAAACGTTTGTGTTTTATAAAATGTATAAACTTCTTTACTAAGAAATTTAATCCGTGAATATGCTCAGAAAGAGCCTATTCTATCATATTCACGGATTAAATTTTGCATTTACTTCTTTGTAAAAAAGTTTATACATTTTGCAAAATACAAATGTTTGATGACTTTAGATGTTATGCACCATATTAATTATTTAAGAGAAAAAATAATTTTTCTGAATATTTTTAATAAATTAATAAAAATTCTTTGAATATGCGTTAAGAGCATTACGATGAATGAATAAATCTATTATTATCAGTAGTTTGGTGACAATTCAAAGATATCTTCCAAGTTATTATGTAATTTATCTATAAATACAACATGTATTTTAGCCTAGAAAAATAATGAACTTAACTTAGAACTGAAGTTAATAATTTGTTAATGAAGTTGAACTTATCTTTTGTATATTCCTTTTTACTTAGTTAGTTTATAACCTTTCATCCTAATTGTGAAGTTATTCTTATTATTTGTCTTATAATCTCTTGTCTACTTTAGTGAAGTTATATTTTTTATAATATTTGAAATTAATCTTTCATTTATATTAGCTAAGTCAACAGTATATAACTGAATTAATAAATAAATTATATTCAACTTGTTTATTAAAAGAACATAATTATCTTTGAATATTTCTGGTCTTATTCTAGTTGATCAACAAATGAACAGACTTTAGATATTGATATTCTCTTTTCCACTTGATTTAATAACACATATTATTCACATGTTCCTTTTGTAATGAAGTCTAAAATCATATAAAATGATAGCAATATTAATTTATAATTTTCTCTTTATTTTAATTTTAATCTGATTTTATATTAATTTGCAATAATTATTACTTGTATTTATATATTTTTATAAATATAAATATAATAATTTACAAACAAAAAAATATAAGAAATAAATAATTTAGCCAAAAATAAAATTTTAATTTATAAAAAGAAAAAAGAAATAATTATATTTATAAATTTTTTATATAATATTACTAGTAATTGTTATATTATTTACTTTATAAAATAAGTGCTAAATTTTTATAGTAATTTTACTATAAAAATTCTAGTATAAAAATTAAATATAACTAATATAAATATTAATATAAATAAATAGATAAATATAAAAAAATAATAATAAGATTAAAAAAATAAATAAATAAATAGATAAATAAAAATAAATTAATAATTATATATAAAATAAAATAATTATATAAAAAATATATATATAAAGTAAATATATATAAAAATAATTAAAAGAATTTTTAAGTAATAAATTATTTATATAATTTTTATAATTTCAAAATTTTATTACAAATTATAAAATTAATAATTTATATAATAAGTATCATAGTTAGATTTTCTTTAAAAAATCAAGCTTTTACAAAATTAGTATACTAAATTTTAATTTTTTGATTTTTTATATAAAATAATGCTATTAATATTAGTTTTAAATTCAAATTTTATTTTATTTCATTTTCAAAAAATATTTAATAAGTTTATTTTTTATAATTATATATAATTTTCAAGTTTTTTAATAATTATTTTTAGTATTAAAAAAATATATTATTTATTAATTAATTAACTTAAAAATATTAGTTTAGAATTTTATTATTATTTATTTGTTATTTAGAATTTATTTAGTTACTATTATATTGAACTAATTTTTTTTAAAATATTAAATTAATTATATGCTTAATATTTATAACAAATTTATAGCCAATTATATTTACAATTTGTAATAATTCTACTTTAATATTAATATTTATTTTTATTTTTGATAAATTCATAAAAATATTAAAATATTTTAGCATAATAATAATTAATTTTATTTAGTAAAATTAAATATATTTAATTATTATTATTTTATAAAATTATATTAGTTTTTAAAATATAAATAATTTAGTTAAAAAATTACAAATTATTATTAATTAAGTTAAGTAAATAAAAATTTAAAAATAAGTATTTTAAAATTTAATTATAAAATAGATTTGAATTCTCAATTAAATTAAGTAAATAAAAATTTAAATTAAATATTTTAAAATTTAATTATAAGACAAATTTGAATTAAAAAAATAATAAATTATTTATATTAATATTATTTTAGTTGAATTTGAATTAATTAAAAATATTTATATTATTCAAAAAAATTTTAACAATTCAAAAATAATATATAGTATTAATAATATTATATAATTTATAAATTAAATATATATTAAATTACTAAAAAATATTAGATTGAGATAATAATATTAAAAATTATTAACAATATATTTTTTAAATAGAATTTAAATAATTAAAAAAATATAATATATTATTATAGT